AGGACCTGGGGGGCCGCATTCTCACGCGAGAGGAGAGCTCGAGAGGAGGGGGTCGGCGGGGCCCACTGGCGGCCGGGGCGCGAGGCGTGGGCGCGCGAGCGCGAAAGAGGCCCGCTGCAGGATTACTCCGGGGCCCGAGACGGGACGACGCGCACTCGCCGAGGGACTGCGCACTCTGGGCGCGGGGCGGGGCGGAGCGGACCCTGCCCGACCTGGCGGCCCCCGCCTCCCGGCGCCCGGTCGGGGCTGCTCACCTCTGCCCGTCGGTCTCCGCGGTGAGTCACCGCCCCGAGCGCGGGGCGGGGAGGAAGCGGGGCTCCCCTCCCCCACCTCCCGCGCGGTCTCGGGGCGCCACCCTCTCCAGGTGCGCACCCTGCCCCGCGGCCACCTGGTGCTTTCTGCGGAGGGCGATGGGCTGCGGCTGGGTAGGGACCCTTGGTGGCCACAGAAGGGGGTTTGAAAATAATGGGGCTTCTTTTATCGGACAGAGCACAACTCTGAAACCTTCAAGAAATGGGGCCTGGAAGAGCGAGTGAGGCGGCGAGGAAGAGGAACTTGGAAGATAAAAGGAGTGCAAAGAGAAGCGGAGAGCCATGTAACCACACACAAAAAAAAACAACCCACCAGACTTTGAGTTAGACCTGTCAGTTTAATTGTACTCCTTTGAATCTAGAGGGAAAAAAAATCTCCCTGGCTTGTGGGGGATGACAAGTTCGTATGTTCTTTCCCCTTTTTTAGCCCTTGGAGATGTAAGAAAACTTGTTCCCACTGAGCCAAATGCTGGAAACTGAGATCACTCCGGGTTTGATTAATATTAGAGAACAATATTGATGAGTGTTTTGAAAACATGGGGAAATAGAAACACTGGATAATAATTTCTCACTGCAATGACTTCAAATTAAACATTAGTCTTAAAAGAATTGTAATTCAATGACAAAATATGGTCTTTAATTTTTTTGTTAGCGGAAATATCATTATAATCTGTTTTTCTTTATTTGTTTTTTAATCTTTATAAGACTTTATTTGAGCCCAAACTGAATAATTGTTGGAAAGCAAAATCTCAAATGTTTCCTAATCTGCTTTTAAAAGGCTTTATTTTTTTTTTCTGCATAAGAAAATTTTGGAGTAAGAATTCAAAAGAGGAAAGGTGAAAACCCAATTTTAAGATTCATGCCCTGACCGGTTTGGCTCAGTGGATGGAGCGTCGGCCTGCGGACTGAAGGGTCCCAGGTTCGATACCAGTCAAGGGCATGTACCTTGGTTGCGGGCACATCCCCAGTGGGGGGTATGCAGGAGGCAGCTGATTGATGTTTCCCTCTCATCGATGTTTCTAACTCTCTATCTCTCTCCCTTCCTCTCTGTAAAAAATCAATATATATATATATATATATATATATATATATATATATATTTAAAAAAAAAGATTCAGCTAATTTTTATAAGTATGTATCCTGTAAAAAATTATGCTTTTATTGAGTGACATTTAAGTGTGTTGTACTCTCTTATTGAAAATTGATTAATGTAAATAATCACATTGTTACAGTAAATAGCTGTATAATTTGAATTTTACTTGAACATTTAATGATCTATCTACTTGATTATTATTTTTTAAATATTTTTTAAATTGACTCAGAGAGGAAGAGAGAGAGAGAGAAATATCGACTTGTTGTTTCCCCCATTCATTCATTCATTGGTTGATTCCTATAAGAACACTGACCAAGGATGGAGCCTGTAACCTTGGAGCATCAGGATGTATTGGGAGGTCTCTCTACCCAACTGACCTACCTGGCCAGGGTTTACTTGATGATTGAAGTCTTAAGAAAATCCTATCACTGTTTTAAATCTGTAAATCTGAGTTGCTAGACCTAGTTTTGGAACTTTGTGATCTGCTCAACAACTTGAAGTTAAAAGAATAGTACTATCAAATCAGGAACAAGTTAACCAGATTTTTGTTTTCTTCTTCATTTCAGGAAGTTGCCTACAGCCAGCCTCCAAACTAGACATACTGTACTTTTAACAAGAACAATCTAACTGGTTATTGTGGCTTTACTTGCAAAATGTTACATTGCCAGGTCTTAATCTGTTACCTAATCAAGTTGACAGCTGTTTATTAAATTGGTCATTGCAGTAAAGTGAATTGAGTAAACATGATTATTAAATAAATGACAAATACCAAACTAAGCTCTGACTCATAATATCTGAGCATACATCTAAGATATTTATTTTTATAGCTCACTAACACCTCAATTTGTCACTCACTGCTCAAAATTACTCTCATTTAAAAAACATATTTTTATTGATTTCAGAGAGGAAGAGAGGAGAGAGAGATAGAGACATCAATGAGAGAGAATCATCGATTGGCTGCTTCCTGCACGCCCCACTCTGGGGATTGATCCTGAAACCTGGGCATGTGCCCTGACCAGGAATCAAACTGTGACCTCCTGATTCATAGGACAATGCTCAATCATTGAGCCACACCAGCCAGGCAAAGTACTCTCATTTTATGCTATGATTGTGAATCTTGTGTAGTTACAGTGCTATATTTAAGAATATTTCTCAATATTTTGTAAGATTTCATATCCAAGTATATCTACTAAATTTTATAGATGTTGCTTTTTAATTTTGACAAGAGTCAATTGACAGATAATATTTGACTGAGAAAGAAATATGACATGCCCTGGCCGGTGTTGCTCAGTGGTTAGAGTGTCAGCCCACACACTGGAGGGTTGTGGGTACCATTCTAGGTCAAGGGCATGTAACTGAGTTGCAAGTTTGTTCCCCGCCCCAGTTAGGGCATTTGGATCCAACCAATTGGTGTGTCTCACATGGATCTTTCTCTCTCTCTTTCTTCCCCCTCTCTCCCATCCACTCTGTCTAAAAATCAATGGGAAAAATACCCTTGGGTGAGTATTAACAAAAGAAATATGATAAGATTAAAAACTATATCGAAGTATTTTTTGAATTTTCAAGTAATTTTTTATTTTTTAACTAGAGGCCCTGCGCGTGAAATCATGGGAGACTCAGACCCGCCACACCTCGAGACCCATCAATGCTCCTCCTGGTGACTGGTCGTTTGGTCATTACGGCCACTGACCTTTTATAATATAGATTATAGTTGCCATACAATATATTAGTTTTGGGTGTACAACCCAGTGGTTAGACATTTATATAACTTACAAAGGGATCACCCCGATAAATCTAGTACCCATCTGACACCATACAGACTTATTACAATATTATTGATTTTATTTCCTATGCTGTACTTTACATCCCCATGACTATTCTGTAACTACCAATTTGTACTTAATCTTTTCACCTTTTCACCCATCTTCCCAACCCCCCTCCCATCTGGCAACTGTCAAAATGTTCTCTGTATCAATGAGTCTGTTTCTGTTCTGCTTGTTTATTTTATTTTTTAGATTCCACATTTAAGTGACATCATATGGCGTTTGTCTTTCTCTGTCTGACTTATTTCACTCATAATTTCAACCAGTGTGCCACCGCACACAACTGTGTACTGCAAAAAGTTATAAAACATGCAGGGGCACTGACCTCTCTTCCATTATACTGTCAAATAAAAAAAGAGAAAGACAATAGCCAACACAGTAGTTGTCTAGTGTAAATGCCCTGTCTTGAACCATAAATATATAGGTCATAAATATACAGGTCATATAGAGTTGCATCTTATTGGTCATGTTGCATAATAAGGTTGTGTCTGATTGGTTAATTCTTGGTACCAGAAATTCTTATATACAAATATAGGCACTTGATTTTTTAAAAACTCACTTTGGAGTAAAAAAAAAGTTGTTAATCACTATTGGTTTGTTTTTTTTTTAAAATATATTTCTTTAATGACTTCAGAGAGGAAGGGAGGAGGACAGAGAGATGGAAACAATAATGATGAGAGAGAATCATTGATTGGCTGCCTCTTGCACCCCCCCCCCCCATTGGGGAATGAGCCTGCAACCCAGGCAGGTACCCTTGGCCAGAATCAACCAGGGACCCCTCAGTCCGCAGGCTGACATTCTATCCACTGAGCCAAGCCGGCTAGGGCTGCATGAACTTTTTAATAAACCTCTCACTTGAATATTATTTTTATGGAGTTTCCAAGAACCTTGAGTAACATATGTACTACTTCTTTAACCATTCATCTACTGATGGACACTTAGGTTGCTTCCATATCATGGCTATTATAAAAAAAGCTGCGCCAAAACCGGTTTGGCTCAATGGATAGAGCATCAGCCTGCGGACTGAAAAGGTCCCAGGTTCAATTTTGGGCAAGGGATGTTTCTTGGGTGGGGGGAATTCTAGTAGGGGAAGTGTAGGGGGAGGTGATCCAAGTTCTCTCTCATCGATGTTTCTGGCTCTCTATCTCTCTCCCTTCCTCTCTGTGAAAGAAATAAAAATTAAAAATAAATTTTTCATTTTAAAGATAAGACCAAAATGAAAACTACTTAACTTATACTTTTCAACGGGAAAGAATAAAAGAATAGCTATAATTTTTTTAAAATATATTTTATTGATTTTTTACAGAGAGGAAGGGAGAGAGATAGAGAGCTAGAAACATCGATGAGAGAGAAACATCGACCAGCTGCCTCCTGCACATCTCCCACTGGGGATGTGCCCGCAACCCAGGTACATGCCCTTGACCGGAATCGAACCTAGGACCCCTCAGTCCGCAGGCCGACACTCTATCCACTGAGCCAAACCGGTTTCGGCAATAGCTATAATTTTAAAATAGCTTCAATAAAGCAAATATTATTCTTTCTTTTTTTTTTGCAAGAACAGTGTTTATAAGATAAACAAATAGCAAATGTACATTCAGCCTTGGCTTCCACTAACCCCAGTCTTGGTTCAGGAAGGTCATCACCAACAGGAGTTAGAAGAGTCAAGGGATGCAAATGTCAACAGTCTCTGTTTCAGAGCAAAGTCCTACTGTCAAATGACCCTCCACACTTCCTCAAAGGCTGTGGTAAGTTTTGCGCAGGTTAGAGCAGCAGAAAAGGGGGTAGTTGCTGATGGACACCATCTTCTCTGTATACTCCACATTGAGCTTGCCATGGACAAAGGCCCCACCACAAAAACAACAGGGTCGCTGCTGGGGACCAACTCTCGCACATCACTGACGACTGGGATGGAAAAAAGAAGTGCCAATTTTCATACATCCAACTGGGAAAGTGATCTGACACTGGATTTTTAATTACCTTCAAGAGCTTCTGGGGGCCATCAGCTGCTCGAACACTGAGTTTGTGTAAAAGCTGAACCATGAGGCCACAAAAGTGGTCAAAGGTTCTGGGAATTCGAGTCTGGGGGTTCACTTCAATCAGCACATTCTTCTGTGCATGGATATAAACCTGCAGCAAGCCAGCTCGGTTCAGGGGACTGTCCATCAGCATCAGTAAACTCTGGTGAGCTATGTCTGGTCTCACTTCCCCCGGATCCCGTCCATTCTTCAACAACATAGACTTGTGCTTGTCACAGTTCAGTAGTTTGTATGTCTTCCCTGCCATTTTAAAAGCAGGTACTTGGAAATGGCGAGGGCTTGCTGCCTGGCGCTACCGAGGTCTCCCCGTAAATATTCTTAGCGAGGGCTGAGGCAGCTGCTGCCGCAAGGGCTGAGGCAGCTGCTGCAGCTGTGAGGGCTGAGCCCCTTGCACGAATTTTGTGCATCAGGCCTCTAGTGTGTGTGTGTGTGTGTGTGTGTGTATCCCTTCCTCTTTCTCTAAAAATCAATAAAAGAGTTATTGCCTTAAATAATAGCATATTGGCCGAAACCGGTTTGGCTCAGTGGATAGAGCATCGGCCTGCGGACTGAAAGGTTCCAGGTTTGATTCCGGTCAAGGGCATATACCTGGGTTGCGGGCACATCCCCAGTAGGAGATGTGCAGGAGGCAGCTGGTCGATGTTTCTCTCTCATCCATGTTTCTTTTTTTTTTTTTTTTTTTAATATATTTCTTTATTGATTCAGAGAGGAA